AGCCTCCACTGTGTGGTGCAGGGGATGGGAGGGGTCATGCATGATGGATGTTAGTTTTACCAGCATCCTTCTGTCCGCCACCTCCTCGATGGAATCCAGGGGGCAGTCCAGGACAGACCCAGCTCTCTTAACCAGCTTGTTGAGTCTCTTTCTGCCCCTGTCCCTGCTACCTCCTGCCCAGCCCACAACAGTGTAAAAAACAGCAGATGCTACTACAGTATCATAAAAAGTCTGAAGGAGTGTCCCCCACACACCAAAGAACCTCAGTCTCCTCAACTAAACTAATCCACTATAACTGATTCCACTCTGACTTTTTCACACATTTACTCTTTTTCTGTTTCTTTCTTAACTAAAACTGTGCTGCAACATATTTGTTTTTCAGGTATGATCAGTTTTCAGAAACTTAAATCAAATTACATACACAATTTCTCCTGCAGGCAAACATTTTGATTTGTATTTAAATCTCTGCTTTCTGATGCATCAGGAAAAGGTTGTTAATCTTTGCTCAAGGTGCCCTTAAATAACAATTAGTATGTATAGATAGGTCCCATGTGTGCACAGTTTAGCACTGCAGGAAAACTCTACACACCTGTTCACCAGAGGTTCCCTGAGAAGTTGTCAGCAGCGGCCCCTATGTATTGATTTTGATATGAGCAGTCACAGGCAGTCAATGGATCAAGTGCAAGAGGGTGTGATACTAGAGAATGCAGGGAGGCAGAGGAGAGTGCTGGCTGCAGAATACTTGATGAGTTATAAAGACTGAAGAGAGGGTTTCGAGAGCCCTGCCAGGAGGAGGTGAGCGGTCTATTACAGTCATTGAAACATTGTGAATAGCTTGAGCGCACAGTTGGATGGAGTCCCTGGGTCTGGTTCAGTGGGTGCTTTTAAACCCGGAGTGATGCCTTTGATATGGACCTTTTTTCAGTACATGATCTTTAAAATTAAGTCAACAGGCAAAAAAAGCAGAGAGGAGTCAGGTTGTGTTGTACAGTAGTTTACTTCTGGTTTACTGACAACAGTGAGAAGGTTCACAACAAAAGAATAAGATACACCGCAGGATTCACCAGCAAGCAGATATTCAGGTAGCAAAAGCAAAGACACACAACAAGTGTTGAATGTGAAGAGATTGCACTTCCTGATGTACATATAGTATCAGAGCTGCATTTCTGATGCAAACATGAAATTAGATTTTACATTAGCCATGCTGCTAACGTAACCTACTTTAGCTTAGCACTAATTTCTACCACCAGTGTGTCAACACTGATATATAAGAACTTTATTTACTAGCCAGTACATTAACTAATGAAAATGCATAGCATGTTGTTATGGTGTATTAACTGTGGTTCAGATTAGAGAGTAAATAGCAGTGAATGCTTTTGCTAACAAGGTAAAAAAAAAAGTCTTCTTCCCATGGGTGTCCATGTTCCAACCATCACCCGTACATGATTGGTCATTGCCGGCCTTTGCCAGATGACGTCCCCTTCCAGTGTGGTGAAAGTTGAACTAGATCCAACTTTTTTTGCCACACAGGGCTGCAGTGTTTTGCTGGAGCCCCCTGCTGTGCTGGTGCCAGCTGCAGTGAATGCAGTCCCTCAGAAATGAATGGGGAGAGCTGTGTTTTTTCACACCTTTGAAACTCAGTCTGAACGTGGCCTAACCCTTGCACACACATGCTCTCTCTCTTGCCATTATCACACTATCTATATTTTTGGCCTGAGTGTTTCAGAAAGGTTTTGTGAAACTTGTTACCGCTGTGCCTGTTTGTGTGTGTGCACAGTTGTTGTAAGGACACTGTGAGTTATAAGGATGTTTTAAGACCTACTACATCTTGTTGCTGTCCAAACATGTGTATGTATGTGTTTTAATGCCTTGTGAAAGGACAGTGTGCACGTACTGTATTGTTATGTCTGACGACTCACTGCCTTGTGAGGATATTATGGCTTGTAAGGACATTTAGGTACATGTGTGTTTGTCCAAGGCTTTCTTTCCACATCTGTGCTCATTCTTGGAAAGAAGATGGCTGCTCCCTCCAAACGTAAACAAACCCATCTGCTGCTTTTATGTTTTTCTCACTGTACATGCCTGCATTTCACTGTTCTCCCAGTTGTTCAGCTACTAAACTCCATCTGCAGTCTCTGGCTTACCTGCTCAGGCAGGAGCAACTGGACTCCTGTCATCTTCAATTCACATGGTCCTGCTGTTTGTCTCTGTCTCTGGTCTGCTTTGCACTGGACTGGGCCAAAATTCTCTTGTCCACTTGTCATTCATACTGCTTCTCTGCCTGCATTTGTTTAGATAAGCAATCGGGATGGGACGATGTCACTTGTTCTCGATATGAGTCGGTGCACGATACAGTGTATATGATTCAATTCAATCACAATATATCATTAAAAGTTCAGTGACAACAATGTATGACTAGCTGTGGAATACTTGTACTTTATTCCTCTTTTTCCCCTTTTCTGGCACTGGTGTGATTATGTAAAGAACAACAAGATATATTGACTTAGGTTCTGTTTGGCTAATAAAGGAAGAGGAAGAGGAGGACAAATAGAGGCTAGGACTGAGAGACAGCGAGAGATGGAAAGAAAGAATATGCTATGGAGAGAATTAAAAAGGGATGAGAGTGAGATGGAAAGAAAACAAGAGATAAACACTCCCTCTTTTTCCCCTTCCCTCTTTCTCTGTGTAATACGTTTCTGCCTGTCCTCAGCTGATCCCTTCTATCAAACAGTGCATCACTATGAGCTAAATGCTTTGGGAGGGGCCTTTTTCTTACAGCTCAGTTTTAAGCCTACCGATAACAAACAGTCATTCCTCCATCTCCTGCTGTGTGTTTTTGCACGGTATAAGCACTCTGTGTTTTATGCAAAAACACTCCATGTACATTAATTCAGGCACCACTATTATTCCTCCAGGCTGTCTACACCCCTAATGTGTTTCAAAAACGCAAATAGATGCATGAAATATTGATGTAAAATTAGACTCAGTGTTTTTTTAGATCCAGCTGATAGCAAGGTTGAACTGCCAGGGGAATGGAATATGTCAAGCTAAAATGTAGACTGTGATTGTAATGGACATTAGCATGACATGGCATAACATGATTACCTCAGAATAAGCAACTGAACTGAATGGCTGGTGTACAAAATGTATTTTCTTACCAAAACTAAAAGTTCAAGATCATAGTAATACAAAGTGTTAAGTGAAACAAATAGTCCTGATCTTGTACTTATTGACAGTGGACCAATCAGAGCTTTGTTGGTGAGATAAAGACATTGAAACATCCTCTTCCTGCGAAGCTAGGTAGTTACTTGGCTATATTTGGGAAAAATAGTAACAGGAGCATTGCATCAAATGTGTATAGAATAACTTTTAATTCAACATAGACATATATGTATATACAGTATGTTTATGTTGACTGCATATTATTATTTTTTTTTATCAATGTGGATAAACGAACTGTTCTTCTGTCGTGACTAAAAATGATGCCTGCGAAATGCCAATGTCACTTACCACCATTGGTTAGGACAAAACATAACAACCACCCCTCCCAACAAGGAATCAGCTATCAAAAACACAGTGCCAGGCTAAATGAATGAAGTGAAACTAAATGGTAACTGATTATCAAGCTTGGTTAGGCAACAACTATTAAGTTAAGTTCAGGTGTAGGCTGCGGAAACAAGATCAGTCCTGTACTTCTTTGGTTAATATTTTACAAATACCAAAACCTTGAAAACAATGTAAGCAAATTCCTATTGTATCAGAGTCATCGTAGACTAGACTATTCTCTTTCTGGTTGCAGTTTGGTAATCTAATGTTTCTAGTTGATGAATATGTTTTCATGTCATCTGAAGAACCTTGCTACGGTGGCCTCCATATTTGATTTTTTGATTTGATTTATTCTTTCAA